CGTATAAAAGGGACGAATATGTCATCACTGTTTGATGGATAATGCGGTTGCCATTATTCGAAGCCCTTTCACTCGGTATCATTTTTCAGATTCACAGTGAGTTTTAAACAGGAAGCATGCACAGCTGCAGATGAGCCATTGCTTAAATGCTTTTAAAAATTAACAGCTAAAAAAATTATATTAAAGCGTAAGCAAAAATTTCATTAAATTGGGTACTTTTTTATCTCTAGTGTTAAATTTATGTTGTGCATTTTAAATTAGTACGCACTTTGTTTTTAGTTTAGTATGTTTTAAAACAGATTCAGGTTATTATAATCAGAATGGCTGAACTTCATGAAAGGTGCATCTTCTCCTTTCTTAAATTAAATGTATTATTGAAAAATTGACAACAAATATAACTTGCGGTAAAAATGTGAAAATTGTACTAAAAAAAAAGACTGATTTATTCTTAAATGCAGTCATCATTAAATACATTCATAATGTTTCTGCAGTTCATGAAAAGATGGTTAGTGTCAATATTTCAAGTTCAGTAAATATGATTACAGCACCCTCTTGCGGCTGTGAATAATTACTACATACAGTAACTTCCAAAAAAAAATGGGAATGAGTGACGTGGAAGATGTTAGCATTTCTAATCATCTTTAATAATCTTAATTTTAATAATCTTTACCAAATTGTTATTTTCATCTCTCACAACATCAGATCTTCAGTGATGATTTGTTTTGTATTTAGCCAATCTTTCGAGCGTTATCTTCAAAACAAAAAAAGTTCATAATTTTGTTGAGAACTGAATTTTGAACTTTCAACTTAATAATGGGTTTGATGATGTAATGCAAGAGCAACTGAAGAAAGAGGAAGCACACAGACACTCTTTATAGGCCTGAAATTAACATTAGCAAGTATGTATGGACCGTGGTAGCCACTTGGAAGTTCTATTTTTTTTTTTACAATATTGCAGAGAAGTGATGTACTGTATTTCACACAAGAAAAAAATAAATGTCTGGTGTGACCACCTAGTTCAGGGCTGTCCAAACTCGGTCCTGGAGGGCCGGTGTCCTGCAGAGCTTCTCCAACTTGCCTCAACACACCTGACCGAAAGTTTCTATGCCTAGTAATCCTTGATTAGCTGGTTCAGGTGTGTTTAATTAGGGTTGGAGCTAAACTCTGCAGGACACCGGCCCTCCAGGACCGAGTTTGGACAGCCCTGACCTAGTTCATTCGAAAATGAAAATCGTCAACATCCACTCACCTTCACGTTGCTCCAAACCCACAAGACTTTTTTTTTTTTTTCTCAGTGGAACAAAAAGTTGTTAGTTTGATTATTCATGCTTGAAACATGAAAAACAATTATGCTTTGAATGGACATTAAGACAAAATGTAAACACATAACTATAAAAGTAACAGATGCATTATGCATTATCCAGTACATAAATGTCTAGAGGACATCACTAAACTACATTTTTTGAGTGTAATGAGAGTGAAATATCCTTTATTTACACACATTTTTTTTCCAAGCATACCATGGAGCACAAAATGGGCATTTGTGTTTTAATTATTACAATTTAATGGCCAAGATACTTTTTTTCCTGCATCTGACAAAAAAAAAGAAAGAAAATGGCTAATAGATTGAGTGTATGTGTAGCATTACGTCAATGTTGTTTCTTTCTTGTGGAGGTTGATCTTTCACAAGGTTCAAGTGTTAAACTATCTACTTGTAGTGAACAGCTTATATTTTTGACACTGTTGCCTTGGTGTGCAAAGCTGCAATTAAAACACTAAACGCTCTGTAGTGTAATGTTTATTGTGCCTAATTTTGCACAACTGAAATATACAATAGTTTACACATGAATTGTGCTCCCTGGAATTCAACATGACAAAATACAAAGTAGCTTTTTCACAAAATCCTTTTTGGTGCTTTAAAAAAAAAAATTTTAGCCTTATTTTAGTTAACACCACATGGATGAGCCTCACATCAGCATCACTGTTAATGAACCGTAGCTTTGCTTAAGTAAATATACTCCCCATCCAGAGTTCATTTTGCTTTTGGTGTGAACATTTCACAATGATATGTTACGTTTCAAGAAAACACTACGGAACATCCCTCTAAATGTCTGTATAATCACACAAGGTGTTAAGAGAGAACAGAATATTTCATTAATTAACAAATCAAATCCAATGTGATTTCATTTTACAGTGTTCCTTTAACATTTCATATTAGGTCTGAATTTAACATGGAGTGTGGGAGGAACATTGGGTTATTCTGCAAACACAAGCATAACCAGATAAAGGATCAAAGGCTTGAGCATCAATAAAAGAAACATGAATACTGAGTGTTCACAGGTTAAGTATCCAGACGCAGCATGCACTTATAAATGAGTGGTGACCAGATGTTGCTGTTCAGCCTGATACATTCATACAGACACCTACCACACAGTAAAGTACATATTTGAATAAATATATTAGTATCTGTTTTAAAACAAACTGTACATGGGCTATTGTGTAGTAAAATATTTTCAGTGAGTAAAAAGCCTCTGTAAATGCAAGCGTTTAAAAAAATACCCCTTCAGTATGCCTAAAATACCTTCTTCACATCCCCGTAAAAATGTCTTTAGGCATAAGAAACCATCTCTGTATAAATTTTAGGAAAATAGTGGAATAAAAGTCATTTTAATCTCATAAGCTTATAAAACAGTTGAAACAGGAAGAATTTTGACCAAAGCGATCACTGCTTCATAGCTCCTTTACGCCATAAACCTTCACCATCATTGTTTTCAATCTCATTTTCCACATTTAGGAGAAGTCTAGATGCCGACTGCAGAATAGTCAACTATTTTCACATCTACTTTGATTGTATACCAATATCAACATGTGGAAAAATGAACAAGTGGCAAGCAATATGCAGTACTAAAATATCTGGGACACAGTTTTCAAGAAGTGGAAAAAATAACACCAGGAATTATTTAAGTTACTAACTCTATAGCCAGTTCTAGAAATATTTGGCAACATCCTTTGTTAATCTTGTTACCGGTTACCCCGGTATGAATAAAAATACCTTTACGTCAAAGCTTAAAATCCTTAACCTTTGAGACAGAAAGAAAAACAAAATGTGTTGGTTTCCAAACACTTGAGATCACTGGAGAACAGAGGACTAGGCTAAAATGACAAATCACTCTAATTCCATAACGCACGATGCAAAAGCTTCCACTGTGGCTGATTAGTATTCCTTTAGGAGTGTTATGTTGGTAGCACTTCATGTAAAGTAGAAACAGAATCACCATTTTTTTCATCTTTGGAAACAACCATTTTAGTATTGCAGTTCCCAAATCACTGCTCCAACAAGTGGATCCTTGTAGAAGCCTACAGTGGAGTTTGGGATATGGGATCCTGACCTTTGGGAGTTCCCACACATTGAACTACTTAAAATAATGGATGTTCAGTCCTGGTCCTGGGGCTCCGACCATCCTGCACAGTATAGTTCCAAATCTAAAGTTCAGTAAAGTTCTTTGGAAAGCACTGGAAGGATAATTAAAGCAACAAAACTCCACACAGCAAGGTTGATCACCAAGAAAGAACCAAACAAAGCACCTCGGGTCTAAAGCCAGGTATAGAAATGAATTAAATCTCCTGAGTGATGTGGTAATGCTGGTGTGAATTGACATCTTGTAGGCCGGTAGACGAAATAACTAAGGAAATCATGATGGACACTTGTCATTTGCCAACTATCACCACGTTCATGAGCAAGAACCTGCTCTCCAGCATAAGCATTTCAAGGGCAGTTTCACAGCTTGCGGTCACACCTACGAATTGTCCTTCAGCATATTCCGCTTCAATTACGCAATAATCCACTGTCCGCCTCCTCTACACTCTCAGTCTACAGGCTCCTGAAAAATGAGCTTTGCCCACTTTTGCGCCAGATTGAGTTGGGTAGAGCAGAAGGGGCAGGCGGCATGGAAAGCGTGGGTGCCGTGCGGTAAAGGAATCTCCGCCCAATAGCGGGCTGACTTTTCAGAGCACACGTGGCCGCAAGGTACGAAGGCGTGCGTTGGTGCACCAGTATCTACGTAAAAGGCTGGTTCGCATCCGAGCCAGAGTGGCACGTAGGGGCCCACGGTTCTGCACATGGGACACTCTCTTTGAGCATTGGCGTCTCGTTCAGAACGGTGGCCCCAGTCGTGGTAGCCGTGAACGTGGCCACAAGCAAGATAGACCCAGGGCTGCTTGTCCTCCTGGGGGGGGACACTGGTCAGGGCACGGCTGCAGCGTTGCATGCTGGGAAAGGCCAGGGTGTTGAGTCCCACGGGGCACTGAGGCCGGGCTGCGTTGAGCTCCTGGCGCAAAGCCTCTAGGTGCTTCTGAGTGGGGGTGTGGAAAAGGCCATCGGCTGTGCGCCAGAGTAACGTGGCTCCGCACAGGTCAACCAGAGAGCCATCCTGGAGTACGTTACTCTCACTCTCCACCTGAGCATAAAACAAACAGTGCAGTGCATTCAATACAGGTGTTCCGTACATCCATTTTCCGAAACATATGTCCCATGTTGGGTTGCGGGAAAACTGGAGGCCTTAGGCGGGAAAACGCCTTGGACAAATGGCCAGTCCAGGTTTGTGGCAATGAATGATGGTCAAGATTTTGAAGCCCAAAAAAGTGCATCCGTCCATCATAAGTGTTCCACACGGCTCCGGGGGGTTAATAAAGGCCTTCTAAAGTGAAACGATGCGTTTGTATAAGATAAATATCCATATTTGGAAACTTTATAAACTGTCGTTTCTAGTTTCTGCTAACTGTTGTACACACGTTCACGAGAGAGTAGTGTTCCAGCGGATGACGTATGATGTAGGTGTAGCGTAAGCTCTGGTGAGAAGTGACGAACGCAGAAATGCATGAGGAGAGAGCAAAACAAAACACCGGTCATGAATTAGAAGTACAAAATGAGGAGTTGTAAAGGAAAATGGAGGATTTTGATATAAGAGTGGAACCCAGAGATTACGGTTTAGAACTACACTCTCAGTCTACAGGCTCCTGAAAAATGAGCTTTGCCCACTTTTGCGCCAGATTGAGTTGGGTAGAGCAGAAGGGGCAGGCGGCATGGAAAGCGTGGGTGCCGTGCGGTAAAGGAATCTCCGCCCAATAGCGGGCTGACTTTTCAGAGCACACGTGGCCGCAAGGTACGAAGGCGTGCGTTGGTGCACCAGTATCTACGTAAAAGGCTGGTTCGCATCCGAGCCAGAGTGGCACGTAGGGGCCCACGGTTCTGCACATGGGACACTCTCTTTGAGCATTGGCGTCTCGTTCAGAACGGTGGCCCCAGTCGTGGTAGCCGTGAACGTGGCCACAAGCAAGATAGACCCAGGGCTGCTTGTCCTCCTGGGGGGGGACACTGGTCAGGGCACGGCTGCAGCGTTGCATGCTGGGAAAGGCCAGGGTGTTGAGTCCCACGGGGCACTGAGGCCGGGCTGCGTTGAGCTCCTGGCGCAAAGCCTCTAGGTGCTTCTGAGTGGGGGTGTGGAAAAGGCCATCGGCTGTGCGCCAGAGTAACGTGGCTCCGCACAGGTCAACCAGAGAGCCATCCTGGAGTACGTTACTCTCACTCTCCACCTGAGCATAAAACAAACAGTGCAGTGCATTCAATACAGGTGTTCCGTACATCCATTTTCCGAAACATATGTCCCATGTTGGGTTGCGGGAAAACTGGAGGCCTTAGGCGGGAAAACGCCTTGGACAAATGGCCAGTCCAGGTTTGTGGCAATGAATGATGGTCAAGATTTTGAAGCCCAAAAAAGTGCATCCGTCCATCATAAGTGTTCCACACGGCTCCGGGGGGTTAATAAAGGCCTTCTAAAGTGAAACGATGCGTTTGTATAAGATAAATATCCATATTTGGAAACTTTATAAACTGTCGTTTCTAGTTTCTGCTAACTGTTGTACACACGTTCACGAGAGAGTAGTGTTCCAGCGGATGACGTATGATGTAGGTGTAGCGTAAGCTCTGGTGAGAAGTGACGAACGCAGAAATGCATGAGGAGAGAGCAAAACAAAACACCGGTCATGAATTAGAAGTACAAAATGAGGAGTTGTAAAGGAAAATGGAGGATTTTGATATAAGAGTGGAACCCAGAGATTACGGTTTAGAAAGTTTTAAATATGGATATTTTTCTTACACAAACGCATCGATTCGCATCAGAAGGCCTTTATTAACACCCACTCCCCCCAGAGCCGTGTGGAGCACTTTTTATGATGGTCGGATGCACTTTTTTGGACTTCAAAATATCAACCCCAATTTTTTGGCAACCCCAATGTCGGCAGTTGTCATATAAACTGCCAGTACTGTCTTCTATTTCTGCTGGAAAGATACTGAAACTTAATGTGCAAGAGAGTGAGTGGATCAGCAGTTTGTGTCTCTCTCTTGTGCACAGTTTTATACACTTAGACAAGCAGAGCAATTTAGTGCAACGTTGCAACATTTCTCAATGAGCCCGCCATAGACAGTGTCAGCAATTCTCCACCAGAAAGTTAAATCGATCTTTCCGGCCCCCTTTCGTGCAGCGAAAATGCACAGAATGACTTGAGAACCCTGTCAGTGGAAAAGCACTATCTGTGATTGCATGTTCTCCCCGTGTCTGCGTAGGTTTCATCTGGGTCCAGTTTACCCCACAATCCTCATAACATGCAGAGGTGAACTGGAGACACTAAATTGCCCATAGCACCAGCTCTGCAATCATACAGAGGACAAGCTGTTTGATGAATGAATGGATAGTTTTTCAGTTTCTGATACTGAAAACTTTTGTTTAAATGAGAAATACATTAAACCTCGAGGATATTGGTTAAATATGTTAATATTTACTTTTAGCAGTGTGTTTATTAGCAAAACAGCTGTTGTGGTATTGAAATTGATGGTATGGTAACAATGCATGCAGAACCACATTTGTCCTCCAGGAGGAGCTAGAGGTTCAAAGACTCAAACATACTGTAGGGCTAAGTAGCCAAACTAAGTAACTGCTTTGCTTTCTTTTTAGCTGTCAAACATTTCACACTTAAACAAATAAAGAAATTAATCCCCCCCCCCCCAAAAAATAAGGTGCCACTTTACTTGAAGCTTTTATGTATAATGCATTACAAAGGGTTATTAAAGGGTATGATGCATTATGAATAATTTTAATGTGCCTTGTAATACATTGTATCTTGTGGTAATATAAATAATTACCAAATTTAAAATGCAGTGTAACAATTAATTTATAAGTGTTATAATGTATTAACTGTGGTTACAATTATTAATGAGATTGAACAATGCATAATAAGGTGCATAATGCATTAAAACTACTACTATAATACATAAAGGATTTAAGTGTTACCAAAATTAAATATGGACCCTTTTCACAGACTGCGACAGCCCATTGAATCATCAGCATTGCAAATCCTGCAAAGTTTTTTTATATTTTCAATTTTTAAATGCATGCACATTTATAGGACTTTACTTTGTATTATATTACCTTTGCATTAAATTACAAAAAACTAGTTTACACTGCTGTGAGGGTGTTTCTAATGCAGGGTCTATGGGAGTTAAGGTGAATTTGACATTGTTTTTTCTCCCGACTGCCGTTATCAGACTCCGTTTTTTGTTGTTTTTTTTCCCCATCTTTTTGAAAGTCGTGAAAACACTAGTTATTTAATGTTGACAATATAGTTGTTATTTTGAGCAAATGGGAACAAAATATATTTGGCTGCGTTTACACTTGGCATTACCATGCAATCACCGTGATCTGATCAAGCAGATCGCATCATCAGTCAATCAGAACACGGCGCGTTTACCAGGAGTGTGGACTCGAGTCACACGACTCGAGACTTGACTCGGACTCGAGTCCCAAATGTGATGACTTGCGACTCGACTCGACATAATTAAAGAAGACTTGAGACTCGACTTAGACTTTGACAGCAATGACTCGAGGCTTGACCCGGACTCGAGTCCCAAATTTGATGACTTGCGACTCGACATAATTAAAGAAGACTTGAGACTCGACTTAGACTTTGACAGCAATGACTCGAGGCTTGACCCGGACTCGAGTCCCAAATTTGATGACTTGCGACTCGACATAATTAAAGAAGACTTAGCCTTTGACAGCGAGACTTGACTTGGACTTGAGCCCTGTGACTCGGAAAGACTTTATGATCAGATCAAAGTCGTTATAGACACATCCTTGCAGCGTATGTGCGTGCGCTTGACTGGCAATAGGCCAGAGACTGCGTTCAGGGAGCGCTGGATAGGCTAGTATAAATTAATGGAGTAATAACACAACTTGCGACAAAAGAACCGAGATAAGAAAAAAAAATTACATGATTCGTCTAGTAGCGATCTCCGCTCGTGAAAAGCGCTGCCCTGTCCTTTGATCGCCACCCAGCAGACACACGGAGCGGGCATGAGAAACGAGATCACTTCACTGGAGCTCGCCTCATCATCACTGTGACCGCTGCTGTTAAATACTCCTCACTTCTTCTGTTTGTCCGACACCGAGGTGCACCATGAGTGACGGATCTACATCCCGCCACGACCCTCGCACTCTGCCAACTCGATCTGCTTTAATTTTAGTTATTTGTAATACACACTTCTAAGACCTGTTTTTGTCAGATCTCCACTGTTTTTGTTCGATCAGTTACATATTTTATTTGCATGGGCATTTTATTGTATTTAAACCTCCATTAAGTTTAAAATTAATCCATAATCGAGATTTAAAGTTATGGTGCAACAGGATTAATGTTCATCTTAAATATAACTTAAATCCAGGATCAAAATTATGGGTTAAAATGTAAACCTGCTTATTTTTGAAGGTTTAAAGTTTGGTGCAACAGAATTATTAGATAAACCTTGATTTAATCTAGATTTAAAATTAATCACTGCAAACTATTTAGCTATAATTTGAAGAAGAAAAACGCACATTAGGCCTAATGTCTGAAGTGGGCAAGCAGCAATTGGCCTAATGATCATTTAAAATATAATTTGAAGAAGTGTTTCTTTCACAAAATGAGTATTGTATATATAACCATAAAGGCTACTCATCTTTTCTCCCTCTT